TTCAGGAGGGAAAGGGGCTTCCTCTCCCCCCCCCCGCAGAAAAAGAACCCACGTCCGACTTTCTGTACCTCTTAGCGTGTTGCTTTCCTTGACTTTCGGGTCAAACTCAGCGGATAAAATGCGATCAATCCCAAATTTCAAGTCTTTGCTGGACGGAGCGGGAGCCGAGCCGGGATGCTGAGTCTGGTGGCTCTGTCCCCGGCCTGGGGCTGGAGACGTTCCGGTGGGGGATCGGTGGTGCTGGGGGTGAGAGTAGCCGGCCGAGAGTCTGGCGGGGAACGCGACGGAAGAGTCCGGAGGCGCCACCACGGGGGTGGGCCTGAGCGGGGATCCCGCGGCGTGGAACTGCGCGTGGGCATGGACGGCGCCGAGGTGGGCTGCCAGGTTGGCCGAAGAGCCCCCGGCCAGGCCGTCCTCCCCGGCGGCGGCGTGTAAGATGTCGGCGATGCAGAACGAAGGCTTCTTGAGCCCGGCGGGATCCAAGGGGAAGCAGCCGCCAGTGGCCGGGCCCGCCGGCGCGCAATATGCCGCTGACCAGAGGCTGAAGTTGGACGCGTAAAAGGGGGCCAAGCCGGCCGTGTACATCCTGCTGCCCCCCCCGCCGCCCCCGCCGCTCTCGCTCCGCTGGCCCCGCGGTCGTGTCTCCAGCAGCTCCTCAGGAAGCGCCTCCTCGGCCCGCCGGCCCTGCCAGACCGGGAGAGCTCAGAGCGGCCGAGACGTCCCTCGGCCCGGGCGCATCGCTAGCGGCGGCGGAGGCGAAAGGAGGCCGGGCAGCCGCGGCTGGGCAGAACCGGCGCGTCAACAAAGTAACAACAGGGGGGGGGGCCTCCCGCCCACTCGGCGTAGCAAAAGTCACTTCCCCAAAGCCTTCCCCCCTTTTGCCTTTCCCCCTTAACGCAGCGCGCAGAGCAAAAGGGAGGGGGGGGAGTCTTTTTGCCGAGAGCCGATTGGGTAGAAAGCGGCCAATGACAGCCTCAGGGGCGTGGCGGGCCAAGAGAGAAGCAGCAGGCCGCGCCCTGCCCACAGGGTTGCTGCGCTGTCGGCTACAGGAGTGATGCTCTCGCTCGCTTTCTCCCCTCCTTCCCTTCCTCCTTAAGAATACTTTCCTGGGGGGGGGGGGGGTCTCTGCGGGCTGCCTCTCTGTCCCGGGCCGTCGTATGGGTCCGCTCGAGCAAAGGATCGCATACCAACGTGTCAAATTAAAGGCCAGCCTCCATCCGAGCGCCCAGCTTCAGTTGGAGAGGTCTCTCTCCATCCTCCCGGAAAAGAGAAAATGGAAGGGAGGGGGCCTCTGGGCTCTTCTTTACCTTGGGCGTCTGAAGGAGCCGGCATCCTTAGAAAGCCCTGCGGGTGCCAGACCAAGGGAAGGAAAGAGGAGGAGCGACGCCGGTCTGATTCTGAACCTTCCGAATTCCTGCCTTCGAGCCATCTTGCTGAAGCTAAGCAGGTCCCGTCTGGTCAGCGTCTGGATCGGAGACCTCCAGGGAAATCTGTTTAATCCACATAGCGTTCGAGGATGGAAGAAATGTGGGGCAGAAATGTAATTAATAAATCAAATAAACTCACGGTTACAATAGCACACTGCGATGTTAGTAGATGCGTTAAAACGCATGGCGAAGTGACTTCAGGAGAACGGAACTTTTTGCTCTTTAATGTCGTTCAAAGGGCAGGGGGTGGAGATATCCAGGGTTGGATCCAGATCAATGAGATTTAATAAATACCGATGAGATCTAATAAAATTCACAGAAGCAATCTGATCCAAGGGGTGCTTGCTTGAAAGTAAGATATGGGGGGGGATTTCGAAAAACCGAAATCAAAATCGGATTACATAGGGCTATATCCCGTTATGGAGACTGCCTGTAAACAGTCAACATTTTTGTTTACAGTTTACATTTTAATTTAAAAACAATAGCGTTTGTTTTACCCCTTCCACTATTTACCGGCACTCATAATAAATGTTTTACACTCCAAAGGTAAGATAAGAAGATAAGACAAATTTTAGATATGTCGGGACGAGCTTACCATCCGCTTGACCGCTTAAAATTACATATATGCATATACAAAAATATACAGACATTTCCTGCTGGCTTGTAGAAGGAACTGCCTAGGGAGAGGGGGAAATCCCATTTCTTTCAGTGAGATTTCTCTTTAAAGACATTTTCATTTTGGCAATGATGTTAAAATCACTACCTAGAAAACATAAGATTTCCTAGTCAGCTGACAGAAATGCATTCCAGCCGATGTTCAGCGTTTTCAAACCCGCTGAGAATAAACCCTGCGCTTGGACAGGTGAACACGTGAAGTCTTAAAGATGCGATTCATCCAGTACTCTTAATGCTGCCAGAGATCCGCTCCGTGCCTAAATCTGCTCCCTAATTCACGACGAAATCCTAAAGAAGGCGCCATTCTGACGTCAGTGTCCAGCTGCCCCAAAACGAGTAGCATCGATGTTATTGGCGCTTCTAAGCTAAAACTGGGGAAGGGGTGGAATTCAAGCTCCATTGATGTCTATGTGAGAAGTACTCATGTAGCCGGAAGTGAAGAGTTCAACCTTCAAGTACATCGAAGTTAATGGGGTTTAGAAGGGTGTGACCCTGTTTAGGGCTGCAGTGTAATTCTGCTGGACTGCTGGCAAATCCCACCCCCACCCCCTTTCCCTCGGAATTTGACTTCACGTGATTCCCAATTCCTCGGACCTCAACTGGACTCAACTAGCATAAATCGTATTGTTTCAAAGTCACATTGTTTTTTCAGCCTATGGGCTGATTTTGCAGTGCCCCCCCCCTTCCCCTCTATAGCAGAAGTGTAGAAGAATAAGGGTGAGTGGCATCATTTGCAGGCTTGACTTCCCAGTAAAATCTCTAGGTTCGGCCTGCGCGCTTCCTTGCTTCTTTTACTAAGCAAGAACTAGCTCCCGCAGAAGGGCTTTTCAGCAAAACTCGAAGGACGGGACTCAGGCAATGCCTAGTCGCACTGGCCAAACACTCCGTTCTACATCGCTGAACTCTCTCAGGCTTGAAAACCCACTTGGCGGTGCAAGAAAACCATTCCTGCGCGCACACTTGGGCGGGGGGGAGGGACCTATGCCGTTAACTCCGGAGTCAAGACCCGGGAAACAAAGAGCGGCGGCGGCGGCTTGCTATTCTGGCCCATTCAATTTAAACGTGGCGGCTATCGAGTTCAGGAGAGCTCACCAAATCCCATATTTTGGTCCAAGTAAGCCAAGCCCAGCAAGTCCAGAGGCGCGGAAGCAAAATAGCGGCTCCTTAAAGGAGTTAAAATACGCAGTTAAGGGCGGCGAAATTCAAGGTTGGAAAGTCCCCAAGTGCAGGTGGAAGTTTAATGACTATCAGCTGCACTCAGACTTCCACTGAAATACATTTAAGACCATTTTTTGCTCGAATCCTCAGCCAAAAATAAAACATTTTTTAAAATAATCCCTGGAATTTACTATCGAGCAGCTCTGTATGTTCGAAATATAAACTCCATAAAATGGAACTCTAACCTTGTTCCTATTTGCTTGGAACTAAACGCCACTGAAATTAAGTGGGAATCCA